CCCACACCATAGCCTTCAAAGGGGAATCGCTGGATTGACCAAACTGTTGATATAGCTAAAAAATATAGTGTAAAGTTCTTGCCTTGTTTCTTGGGTAACATTGCATCTTTTTTGAGTAAGGAGATAAAAATTAATATTTAGGAAAATTTCCTACAGCTCTGTGACTGAGATACAGTATATTAAAACTCTAATACAGAGCTGAACCTAAAACCTCATTCTGTATTAGAAGTAATTAGAATGAAATACTATAATTATTTACGAAGCAAGTAGGGTAACACTTTATAATAATGTTCATTTATACCACATATATAAGCGTTTTGTTAAACATTAACTAATTTTTTTACAAAACTTCAATAAGACATTTATAAGCCTGTAGCTAATGATGAACAAATTCTTTACAAATTCACAAGACATTTATAAGCATGTATTTAAGGGCTAACTAATCATTTGCAAATTTAGTATAGCTGAGCATTATTATAAAGTGTTACCAAAAGTAGACGTGTGATTTATATCCGTTTTCATAAACACGGTGTAGCCTGAAATGTACAGATAACACTTTTAGACTATGAGAAGCCTTGGCCGTAATGTCGGAGAACCGGGATGGCTGCATTTTAGGGACAGTCACAGTACCAAGTTCACACTGCTGTCTGCTCTCACACTCAGATTAAATCCACAGCACATATGTGATAGGCGTGAGTGAGAAAGAGCTGAGTGACAGGTCACATGGGCCCCGTCCATCCACCTCCTATACCCCGCTCCATCCTCTTTTCCTTCCTTCTCTGCTGCCCTTCTTTTCTCCTGGCTCAGGGAGGAATGTGTCCTGTCCACGGCTTAGGGGACATGGCCGCCATCTTTGAATTCCAACCGTACATATATTCAAAACTACCTTGAAACCTAATGGCCTCATTATCTCACTAATGCCTTTAATGTGTTTGACTATTTGTGCCAGGTGAGTTTTTTTGTAGTCTGGGAAAGTTTGATGAGTGTTTGAAAATGAAACACCTGAAACCATTAGCTTAAGCAAACCAGTCATCATGTAGACTGGGTGGCATCAGCCTGTCCAGTCAGGACCTGTTCATCGGGGCATTAAGTCATACTGAAATGTCTTCGTTTTTTCTCTCTTTTTTCACCAGCAGTGGTATTGATTTGTGCATCTCTCTTTGATTCCATTCATCTGGTATGTCCTGCAATAATTCAGCTTACATAAGTCAAGCAAAAGCCTTGTGGAGATTTTTTTGTATGCAGATTTATTGTTTTGCCGCTTGTAAAAATAGTTACGGGATGAACTATGGGATTCCTGTTAATGATTCAGAAAATAAAGTGAAACATTTTACGTAAAAACAGATGAATACTGAGAAAATGGCATTAATGAGATTATTCCCTTGTTTGTTTGTGATACCACATCTGTTGAGACAGGCGTTCTTAACAATTTATTGTTGTTCATTCTGAATGTGCATGTACAGTAAGATACCTGTGTCGGGGTCTGTACCGTCCAACCCCGCCCTCTGTGACCCTTCCACGTTTGGCCAGCAGGCATTGCAGGCCATTCTGCCTTTCCCCCCTCTCTGTCTTAGCTCCTAGTCTTCTCTAGTGTTTCTCTGTTCCCCATACTGCTGCATGGGTCAGTGGGCTGAGTGTGTGGCTCAGATATTGTTCCCCCATATCATGGGTTCGAGACTGGCTTAGGACCAGTCTCGCACATTTTTGTTTTCTGGATTTTTGTCCTCTAGTGTTTATTTCGTGTTCGTTTCATTCTTATTCTATAGTTTCCCAAGGTTGATTTTGATTATTTTTATGTATTCTTGTTTCTAGTTTTTCCTGGTGGTGTCTTTAGTGTTTATTAATTCTCTTAGTTCTCTATGTTCTTAGGATTATTGTGTCCACCTGTTTCTTGGTGCTCCTGTGTCTCACTTGATTGGTTCATTGATTAAGTTACACCTGTTCCTTGTTTTTCCCTGGATATATGTGTATTTAAGTATCATCCCTCATTCTCTGCTTCAGTCTGCCATTGTAATATCATGGTGTAATGTTGCTATGTGTTTTGGTCCTCGTTTCCTGATCATGTTCCTGATCATGTTCCTGATCCTGCTCTCGGTGTTGCCCTGTTCCCTGGTTGTGTTTCCCTTGTGTTTTTATAGCTTGTTTTAGTATAAAGTTCTGCTATAGTTTTCTGACCCCTCGTGGTCCTTTATTTTGTGTGATTTCCAGTGTTCTGTACTTCCCTTAAATAAAACCCCTTTTCGTTTTGGAGCTGCTAGTGACTCTCTTCCCGCCTGCACCATGCCCTGAATCCCTGACAACCTGACACTACACTAGCTCAAAATACAAGTACTGAACAAACTCTACTGTCATACACATCCTATGGAGTGTTTTTTGCCATCTGTTGCTAAAAACATAAATTGTGAATGTTAACCAGCCATTGTCAAAACCAAAAAACAATGGAAGACATAGAGTAAGTATTAAATTAGTGAAGATTATCTGTTGAGGCAGTCTTAATTTATGGAAATGGAAAATGACCAATTAAAAAAAAAAAAAAAGTCTGCCATTTGCATTATTGCATTTTACCAGTCATTGGGGAAGAGTTAGAAAGTTATATGGTTTTGTATTCTGTCCACGTTTAACATAAATACCATTAAATCATATCAGAGATCATGTAAGCATATGCATATGCGCTGATACTGTAGTCACATGGTCATGGGAAGATTTAGTAGATTTTTGAATTTCAAAAACATTCCTGAGTCTGTCTTAATAGTAGAAGATGAACACAGAGATGCAAAATCCAGAGACGTGAAATCCATACATCTTCAATGCTGCAATGAATGCCTTAGTGCTTCAGGATTTGCTTCTGTACATGTGGGACCTTACTGCTTCAAATAATATTACAGACCATTGTCTAGTATTTAGGTCACTCCAATAAGCTATAAGTATACAGTATAACAATAATATTATCTAGCTAAATGGGTTCTTTGTCAGCCATATGAAGTGAACATGGCAGTTTATAAGGATGTGGTTTTGGCAAATAAAATATCAAAGTTTTCATTTCTACTACAAGTGTTCAGGAAATCTATGGAAAGCCAGTGCTCCACATTTCTGTCCCATTTTTGCAGTATTCCATCTGTAACCTATCTCTGATTCTTTACCATTGTCTGGTTGAATGAAAACAGCCTAGCAGAGAGGCTAATTAGTCTTGAACTCCACGCCCCTTTTTTGTTTAGGCAACAGCTAGGGGGCTGTTGCTTGATAACTGGGCCTTGATGGATTTTGTGGAGCTGTTTTAGGAGCCTGAGGGCAAGTTCTTGGAAATGCTTAGTGCACAGATTTTGTCACACCTTGAGAGGAAATGACAGGGCACTTATAGAACTGATGACCTCAGCAGGACAGAAACTTTAAGAGATGTCTGCTCTGAAGAAGGGTTTTAAAGCTTTTTCTGCTCCCATCATTTTAAGGGAGATAAGACACATACCCTTGAAATTGTCGGCCATCCCTGTGCAGGCTGCACATTCACCTACAGCTACTCACACACATGCATGATTGACCTCTGACCCCTGAATCACCCTTCACTCCCCATATTAAGTTCCCTTCAAAAAGGCAACTGGATCATGTCCTTCTGTCATCAGGACACAGGACTTGCCAGGGAGATACGCCTCAGTGCTGCCTACTCGTCTTTTGGTCATCAGCTTGCTTTCCCCTCATGCTCCTGCGTTCTACATGTATCTCAGCAGAAGGACAGATGTCTTAAGTCATTCATTCACTGAAGAAAAAACCTGGAACTTGGTCCATGGAATGGTACAGTCAGTTATTTTTTTACATTAAATCACAAACCAACAGAGATTTCTCAGAGAGATTTTACAATTTGTAGAGTTTTCCATAGCAGTGCTTTTCGGTTGTTTGATGTCCTGCTTTCTCTGTGACTCTAACGGTAGATTGGTCTGTCTCATGTGTAAAGACACCCTGAGGCGCTTGAATGAGGAATGAGGAAGGCAGCATCTCAGGTGTGTCTGCACACCCTCAGAAACCCCCTGGCCAAGCTCATTACTGGTAGGACTCCAAAGTGAGGCATCCCCCAGTAGGCTAGCAGTTTGGGGTTACCTGTATTGTATGGGGTTTAAATCTTAATTCTAATTCTTTATTCGTAATTTAAATTTCTATAATCCCTAGTATGCATGTACAAACTGGTTCTGTCCACAATTCATGGCATCTATCATGGAAAAATATCTATCTATATTTTGTCACTTTTTGTTACCAGTTTGGGTGTATGTAAGTGAGAACTTACAGTTCTGGTTTATTGTCAGTCTTCAGAAGCTGTTGTAAATGGTCAGCATCTATCAACCTTATAACATAAACAACCCCTTGCTTGCCGTTGAACCTTTGTCTTAACCAATCAGCCCTTTGCATGGTGAGGTCATAAACTCCTGCAAGGTGGACTGGCTGTCAGACATGATGAGGTAATGCTTCCCAGGATGCCACACCCTGTCGAATGGAGTATGGGACAGGAGGATTAATGCGAGGGAAAGAAGAGGGGGGAGAACAGGAGAGGAAAGTTCATAAACGATCCCAATCCGGCGGAGCTGAAGATCCGCTCAGCATGATGGGCGAATGGATGAGCAGCTGAAGCAACAGAGTGCAGAGTCTTCTATGCTGGGAAAATAAAATTTTTTAATGAGCCTTCAGAGTAGCCCATGTGCTGCTCTGCATTATGTTGATTTTAAAGTTTTATTATTAGCAAGAAGTGAAGCTGAGACATAGTCACCTGACTTAATGTCAGACCCCTGGCTCAATAGTACAGAGCAGGTCTCAATACACTGCTCCCAGTTGGTTTGCTTGGCATTTAATGCAGTCAGGGTTCTGGAAAAGAAAACCAGAACAAGTTGTTCATAAACAGTAGTTTTGCTAAGTAGTGGAGTATAATGAAGGGTCATTTCAGCACTTTTTTTGGCATGGGAGCCGCCATGTTAACGAGCGTGACATGAGTATATGGTCCACTGTCTGTCTCTGTGTAGAGGTTTTGTGAACTCCCAGGACTCTCTGCTGTTTGTCCAGCTGCTGACGGGGACTCTGGATGGGAAGCTGCAGCTCTTCAGACCGGCTGACTGACCCAGCAGTGGAGCCATCCTCCATGCTTACCCATGTAAGTCCTACTTGCACATTTCTGCCTTTTCACTGAGGATTTGGGTGTCTTTCTCACTCGGACTTCAAACTGCACTCTCATCCTCATTCTTTGGCAGAGTGTGACTGCGCCATTCTGGAGATGAGCGTCTAGGCCCAGTTCAAGGTCTCACATTTTGGCTGAGCTCTAAACACAACAGGAAACAGGGTTTTGGGACTGGCGTGATGGAGCCAGCAGCTCAATAAACTTTAAATAGCAGCATAAAATTTTAAAAGTTTAACCTGCGCTCTCACACTTTGAAACAGACACACAAACACATGTTTAAACAAATGCATTTGCATGTGTTTGCACAGGGGTACTAGCTTAATTTTTTTTTGTTTATAGGCATCCATTTAACTGAAGCACATTCAGTGTCGTTCTCCAGAAGCTGGTTATGGTTGTTCTCTGTTGTCTATGTATTCAGTCAGGCTAGTTTTGATCTTTTTTATTAAGTATCAACACCAGAGGAGTAAAACTAATATACAGTCATGGATGACAGTTAAAAGGGGGTCGGGGGTCTGTAAGTGAAAAATAACCTTGTGCTTCTGACATGTTGCCCTGCTTCATTACCAACAGCACCGATCGAAGGGCTGCGCATGGGGAAAAACTGAGGGATTGTGGGAAGGCTGCATAGGACCTGGCAGCTTTTCACACCGGATAGATCATCTGAGATCATTCTCCAAAACACCCATGCTGCAATAAAACACCCCTTTGTTTCGGGGAGGAACGACCAGCAGGTTTTTGGAAGAGTTTGGGTCTTAAGTTCATTCTTGGCTGCCAATAACAGTTTTTTTTTTTTTTTTGCATATGGTTACGCATTATTATATGGTATTAAAAACCACTCCGGTTCAAAGCTAATATCCCCCCAATTTCATATTGCTGCTTGACGTGCATAGCCTACTGCCGCTGCCCGTGGGCTCCTCCGTTAATGTGGAGACCATATGACTCAGTACAGCTGAGCGCTGCTCCACAGAAGGTCCTTTTGGTGTTTTTAATACATACCAGCTTGTTTAATAAATGTACATATCTGTCTATCCATCCTTCTTTTTGTCTTCCTGCCTCCCTCTCCGATCTGAATACAGCTGTATTTTGTTTCCTCATTGTCTGGACGTGTCCAAATCAGACATTTTTTAACAGCTGGTGCTTCTTTTTCGTTTTCCCAGAGAGACTGGAATTAGGTCACTAAATGTTTGAAAATGTGGGTCGATACTGTGTAGGGACCGTGGGACTTGGGAGACAGAGGCGGGTTTAAGCGTTTCTGAATTGAGGGGAAGGAGTGTGGTGTCCACAAATTAATTGCTAGCTGTCTGTTTTTTGTTAACAAGTAGGACCCAAAAAACTCACCAGTTGAATGTCTAAGATTTTGTACTTTTCTGAAGTAAAAATATTATCTGTATTCTTTACACTAATACGAAGCGTCTAACGTATAACAAATCTATGCTTATGTTTTATATTATGTTATATGTATTATTTTATTATATATCTGTTCTTTATTCAAAAAAATGCAGCACAATCACCTTTTTCACATTTTTATCGACATCTTTTTGTTTGAAGCCATTTCATGAAACAGCATTAAAGTTCCAATGAAATACTATTGATTGTATTTACTCTTAAGATTTATCATGATTACTCCTATGTGTTTTACATCATATAAACTCTATATGACACTCAAAATAAACATGCAATGCATGTTAATTGAATTTGTCATAAGACATATATGTCTTGTATTCATATAAAATATATATTAAATTAATGTTTTGTGAAGCATATAAATTCTACATCATACAATGCATTTTAATTAACATGCTGTCAGTTGTATAAGGCCTACACAACATGTACAATGCATATAAAATGAATTTTTTTGTTTTGTCAGTTTTTGAAGTATTAATTTTTATGCATAATTCTTTTAATGAACTCAATTGAATCATGGACAGTGGTTCTAGAATGAGAATTTTGAAAAAGCTCTTTCTCATTTGATGCATTCACTTTTTTTTTCTGAGAACATAGCATAGTGGAGTTAATGTCACTGAATTTCTCCTGTCTAATTAAACAATCTGGTTTAATTAAACAAAAATGTGGAGAGATCATACAGGTTTTCAATAGAATAATACGAAAGGAATATCCAATCCGTCCACCCATTTTCTGTAACGGCTTGTACTATTCAGGGCCCAGGGTTTCCGGAGCCTATCCCAGAGGCTATGGGCGCAAGGCAGGGAACAAGCCAGGATGGGGTGCCAACCCATCACAGGGCACAAAGCAGGGAACGACCCAGGATGGGGCGCCAACCCATCACAGGGCACATAAAAGTATATAAAATTTTATTATGAAACAACAAGCAATATACATTTACTTTCCACTCGAGTCATGTTATCACGTTTGGTAAAATGTAAAGTTCATGTAAAAGTTATGTATTTCCTATAGGCCTTTCTGTTGAGTGCCTTACTTGTCAAGTGTGTGTTTGGTATGAATGTAGCCATAATCATATAAGAAAAAAACACTGATTTATAGTGAACAGATAAAAAAAATCATGTTATGTATAACTGACATAAGAAAAATGGCTGGTAGCCTTATATGAACCATGCTGTTTATTTTCATATGGGGTCAGGGATGGAATGCATATGAAGGTTGAGGACTTCATTACTGCTAAAGGAATTTTATGCTAAGCGAAAGAATATAGAAAATGAACAAGTTGGCAATGAATTTTAAGGGAAAATGAAAGAGCAGGAGTAAAATAACTGTCTGAAGAGCATGACTTATACCCTCAGTCATACATGCAGTCCCTGACTTATACCCTCAGTCATACATGCAGTCCCTGACTTATACCCTCAGTCATACATGCAGTCCCTGACTTATACCCTCAGTCATACATGCAGTCCCCTGGCCGATTTAACTACTGAAATGAATGCATCAAAAGCAGGAAATCCTTGTTGCTTTAGAAGTGAGCTTTTCAGTTCCTTAGCTATGGGCATAATTGGAAGTAGACTACACTTGGAATTTGAGAATCTGCGAAGGGGCCTGAGTCTGAGGTATGAACTGAGTCCTAGTTTTAAATAAATATTGGTTTATTGTCTTTGTTTATTGGCAGTGTGTACATGTGTTAATGTGCATATTTCTCACTTAACTGATGTAGCAGCAATGGATGTTGCAGTCCAGGGTGCACCAGTGGTCCATGTGAAGATCCCAGCACAGGTAATTCATGGGAATGACATCCTGCTGAGTGCAACTTGGAACCTGATCTGACATTCAGACAGTCCATCATCTCTGAGAAGTAATGTGGCAAACAAACCAGTGGCACCGTAAAACAGAGCGAGGAGAATGGCGAGGGGTCACATGAGCGATTCCAGACACGTCACCTCAGCTGACTCTGCTCATCCAGCCGGGAGCTGGGCTCTCTCCTCATTTGGAATAGCAACTTCTGAAATTAAATTAACCTGAAGCTTAAGCTAAAAGGGATGGATTGGATGGGACAGTCCGTGGACATTTTTCCCCTCCGGATAAAGGGTACTAAAAGCTGTTGTTCTTACTGTATGGTCAGCAGATGACCTAGCTTCTCATTAATCAATGGGCCTTTACAGTGCATGGTGTGTGTGTATGTTCTCGGTCCAATTTACTTACCATGACACTGACTTTTATTATGCTGTCTCAAGTGACCCTCCCTGGGTCAGCTGACATAAATAAAATGGTGAAAAATAAATGACACAATTGTCAAATGAAAGTAAATACGAAAGTTCAAACAAGGAGACCTTACGAACATCGTCATGTCCAATCACAGCGGTCCAAGTTCTATATAAAGAGTAAGTCTAACCCACTTCTTTGCCGTTACAGCTATTCGGTTCGCCCACCTCCTCCCCTCCACCACCTTCGGCTCCCCGTCCTGGTCCGAGGGGTTTGGCTCCTTCGCCTCCTGCCTGGTCGCCCAGCCAGATCTGTCGGCTTCAGAGTTGGTAGAACCAACGACCAGGAGACGGGCTTCACCAAATCACTCTTCTCAGACTCATTTAAAATGTTTAACCAAATAAACAGTCATGCCAACTACCTAAGGTCTCCTTGGTTGAAATACATGTGATATGGCTCTGCTGGCTGGATTCTGACAGTTATTCGATTTTCATGCTTTTTCTCATTTGAATCCTCCCTTCACCTGCCTGTCGGCGGTATACTAGAGAGGAGTACAGGGAGAAAAGAATCTCGTGGCCCCACTCTTCCTGGAAGCCAGGGTCTGAGCCACAGAGCACAGCTTTTAAACACTATATTCCTGTGAGTCATCTCTACCACTGTCTGAGGGCCCGTATGGTGTTATGTATGAGGCTGTATGCCAAGGCACAGGACCAATGCTGGATGGGCATCAAAAGAAGAGATGCAGTGTAATCCACCCAATGGAAGTATGTAAGGTATCTGTGATTTCTTCTTCATTCTGTTTGTTGCCCACAGTGCAGAAACATGTGGTTTGGTGAACAGGCATACCTAAACTGCCCTTAGCATATGAGCAACTGTGTGCCCTGTGATGGACTGCCAGTCCATCTAGACGTTCCCCTGCCTTGTGCCCCTTGACCCCTGTCACCTTGTTTTGGACAAGTTGTAGCAAGGTGGATGCATAGATAAGCACATTGTTATGTTCTGAAAGAACCAATCCCAGAATTCTCCATCTGGAACATGTTATGCAAGATTATTTTCTATGATCCTTTTGCTGGAGGATGGATGGATGGATGGATTGATGGATGGATGGATTGATGGATGGATGGATCGATGGATGAGTCAATGATGCTGTGAAAGGGCACTTCCCATGTTCACCAGCTGTAACATGACCTGCGACTTTCAGTATAAGGGCTCATTGGTTTGTATTGTATGATACTCCCTTGACACAGTTGCTGCCTGATTGAATTGGCCTTTTATCATTTTTCTGATCACTCAGCTGCATTTCTCTCCTTCACCCCTTTCCGTGACACTGCGTGAATGCTGGGTGGCGTGTCAAAGAGCCTTAGTGCTTATCTTGCTTTCTGAGTGCATAACTGCACATTACATGCTGACAACAAGGAAAATCAACGATGCCATAAAATGCAAGATTAATTAATAAAAAAAATGGCTCAGCATCACAGAGTAGATATTGGCACGTAGAGACTGACATTAATGAACTATGACAGTTTTCATTAGTTTGAGTTGGACAAAGTACTTCAAAGTAGTCTACTGGTAGCCCAGTAACCAGTAAATTCGGTAGTATTCTCGGTATTCAAATAGTCTGCGCGAGTATGTATGTGCATAACCTTTTGTGTATACATCTGCTTGCATTTATGTTTCAGTGTGTCCCGCCAAAAGTATGTGTGCCTGTGCCCACAGGCGCATAGCTGAGCTACCAGGAGAGGCACTGGACCCCCGCTGCCCGTCTTTGTGGGGCTGCATGTTCCTGAGTCCGCAGGCAGCTTGCAATCGGTAGGGAGTCTCATAAATTAATCCCGGACAAGTCGTCCTTTTCCTATTCTTTTTTTCCCTCCAGATTTTATTAATCTCCAAATTGTTATGCAGTAATTACATTTAATCATTTTTACATATAAAGTACAAATATGCATACATAACACATATAGAATTATTGTGATAGACATTACATAAGAATTATTAAGAACGGTTGGTTTTAATTAAAAATATTGTAAAAATAAGTAAATTGGTGGTAACTGGAGTATAAAACCTAATTTTGTGAATTTGTCTATAACCAAAGGAATCAAGGCCAAAAAACAAGGGGATGTGTGCCAGAACAGACAGAATTTATTTATGATAATTGGGTAAAGCTTACTGGAAACCGTGATGCATTGTGTTTCACATTGTTCATTAAGGTCGTCAATGTTATGGGAATACCTTTCTCACAGTCAGCTTAACAGCCCGGAAACCAATTCTTTCTGCATCATTTAAAAAAAACCTTGTGTAAGACAAAAGTCCAGGATGCCAGACTGAATGATTTTACATTGATTTCACAGCCAAGTCAAGCCGGCACTTAAAAAGCATAACAACGAATGAGGTTCTACGTTTAATAGAGTTACATAACTAATTGTAATAATACGAGACTTATAGTAATAAAACAAAATGAGTCTTATCTTAAATAGCTAGAATGTTAATTCTGAAATGAACTAGTGTTTCTATCATGATCATCATATAACCCCCTCCATCCAAAAAAATGGATAGTTTTGATTTATTCCAAGTCCAGTTTACAAACTTGCCCAGATTTTTGAAATCATTACTTAACACTGTAGCCACTTCCAACTTATTTATGATCAGAGGGGCCGAGGTATTTACATACAAATCATGCGGAAATGTAAATTGATACAACGCTTTCATTCTTTTCAGCCAGTGACTGAACCCTGTGTATCGACTGTCTGGGTTCATGCCCGGGTCATAAAATGGACCGTGGAATGCAGAAGAAGTAAAACTGTCAGCGTGCTACACTGGATAAGGACGCCTGCTAGTCAGACCGATAAGATCACATGCAAGGTCGAAAGGGAATGCTTATACAGGGGGATTCTCACACTTAAATTTAAGCAGCCCGTCATGCTATGATGCTAATCAAAAGGATACTTGACAGCGATTAATCTTGCTGATACTGCCTGTGGTTTACTTTTACATATTTTGAATTCATGCAGAACAGTACATTACAAACTGAATGTTACAAAATAAAATGATACACTCGTCCAGTCATAAATAACCCTGTGTCCGGAATGACTTTATCCGCTTGAATGAAGAATTCCTGGCTTAGGTGTCTGTATATTCCAGTTTCATCCTCCCTTCTGCTGCTTCCCCAGCCAGTGTGAGAAGTCATGAACAGTTTTGGAAGTTTGATATGTGGTTTATTGGTGGTTTATCTGGAAGAGTGGAATCATTTTAATCCCAAACTGGAAGCAATTGAACCTGAGGTCTACTGAAATCTTATTTTTATAGACTCTTTTGTCTGAGGTCGTTTTTCCAAAGAAAAACAAATTTCTCCCACTTAGTCCTGACAGCTTCTGCCTATTGCATTGGAAAGACAATCTCTCTCCTCCAAATGTTTGTTTCTGGCACAGCTCAAAAAGTCACCAGGAAATGGATTAGATTGCTTTTCCACCTTTCTAGTCCAGTTAGCCTGCTCCAGCAGTGCCTCACCTGAACTGCCAGGCCATGGTTCTCAAAACTTTCATCTTGTTGCTGTGAAACCACTATACCATATAGTACATTTTATATTTTCGAGCATACAGCTTATGTAAGATTTGCTTGACAGTTACCTCGCCTCACAGGAGCATGCAGTGTCATGAGAGCATTTTGGGAGTCGACCTTCAAGACTGGGAATGTTTAATGAACTCGTCCATCAAATGCATTCTCCTGTCAGCATCACCACTTCATCAATGGCTGCATCATCCTCCTGTTCAGTTAGTAACCCATCTCTGGCCACACAAATGGCTCCCAAGGTAAATATTTACCCGAGATGTGAAATTTTCCCAGGACCTTTCTGTCAGTAGTGCTGGTGTCTCACAGCAAGTTTTTGAGACAAGGACCCCACCGCTCTCGTGGGACTGGTCTGTCGGAGCTTCCCTGAAGCTTTGGCCAAATACTCTTTTGTGCTTTGTGCTAATGGAAAACAAGCAAAACGGTGAACCCTCTCAGTCTAGATGCCTGAAGAGACCAAGACTTACAGGTTTACTGACTTACACAGGCTGAATCAAGAGTGTTCCTGTGGATATGGGGTATGGTGATTTTGGGAAGCAACAGGTGAGGGTAGACGAGAATATGGGTGGAAGACGGCAGAAGAATTATAAACATCAGCATTTACTGATTTCTGTGCCTTGCTAATACGTCTGCATGTAGTCACTGCTGACAAGATTACTGATTTATAAAGCTTTGTTCTTATTATCCTGAGCCCAGCTATTTTAGATAATGATGCTATTTAGCCGTCAAAATTTGGTAATATATTTATCATTATATGTTATAATGTTTTTATGTTTTTCCAAGAGACAGATTAGGGTTAGGGTTAGGGTTAGGGTATTAGTTAATTCCGTGTCACATGAATACAGACATCTATTGTGTTGAGGATATTAGAATATAAATTGATTGTTTGATTGATTGATAAATATTGAAATACTGTAAAAGGAATGCGTGCACTAATGTTTTGACAAGAGAAAGCCAATCAGGCAAAGGGCAGACAAATGTCTGACACCCCAAACTGGTTTTATGGGTTCTGATGAATTCTGAGATGCAGATGATGGATGGGGATGTATAGAAGAATTCATACACTGGGTGTGCATGAATTTCTATGAAGAGAGGAGAGGTGGTTTCTTTCGAGAACCTAGCCGTTGTGAGATTGCTTTCAGAATAAGGCCCTGTATTTTCACTAATGCCTCAAAACAGCTGATGTGGGTTAGATAAAGTAAGATACTCTCTGACCCTAAGCTAATGGACTTGTCAAAAATACAAATGGTGGCAGCAAATCTCAAACTGGTACACCTGGAAAGAAGGAAATACAATGGAAAATACTTGTCTGTGTGTTTGCGGTTAAGACAGATGTGCTTCTTCGGCCCAGTTTCTTCGTTTATACAATAATGATGTCATGACACCTGGAAAGCCAACTGAAGCATTACATGTGTCCTCTGCAGATAAAAGTGTGCACTAAAGAGTGCACTATCAGGGGCACAGAGTGTGTGGGGTGTGTATGAAAGCCAGTGTATCTGTTCACCAATATGAGGCATGCAATCCTGAATGTAACTGAGGGACATGACCAACATCTATATCGAAAAAAAAACAGATGCTTCCTGGCATATTCTGGGATTGAGATGATAAGGAGGGAAATTAGAGGACAGATGTAAAACAGACCAATGGAGATGGCAATAATGGGTGGGAAATTATAAAATCAATGACCTGAAGAAATTTGTCTCTGAATATTTTTACATAATGACCTGATGAGCTGCATTGTGGGGGTGGCATGGTGGTGCAGTCCTTGGGACTGTTGTCTTACACCTCCAGGCCTTGGGTTCGAGTCTCCACCATGGCTCCATGTGTGTAGTATTTACAGTACATGATCTCTACATTTCATGGGGTCTCCTCTGGGTATTCCAGTTTCCCCCCATGATCCCATACCATACTGAGGTTAATTGCAGTTGCCCATAGGTCTGCGTGTGTGAGTGTGCCCTGCACTGCTTTGGCACCCCATGCTGGGTTGTTCCCTGCCACGTGCCCATACTCTGCAGGATAGGATCTAGACCCCCTGCAACACTGACTGGGACAAGCAGTTACAGGAAAATGGGTGGACCTGCATTGTATATGCTGTTGCGTGTCACTGCACAGGGACTGGGAAAAAAGCACCAAAACATTTTTTTTCAGCTCTAAAAAAATGCTGTGATTTCCACAACTGTTTTTGTTTACAGGGAATTTGTAGAATTATGCAAAAATGAATGCCACATGTCTCCAAGACCAAAATGTCTCCAACTGTGATAAGATCAATTCTGGGAAGTGAAGAGTCCAACACAGGAAACGCAAAATGCCTAACTGCCTCAATGGCTTTGGCCAGGAGTGAAGAGAGAGCAGCTACCTGGACAGACCCTGCAGATGGATTAGGTCTTTCATGCCAGTCTAACCACCCAGTTTTAATAAATGTTTACAATGATAATCTCAGAGAGATGGGTCCCTCTGTGTCTTTAGGAGAGCCTGCAGCAGAGAAGGACAAGAACACTTCTCTTTGCAAAGGGTAGTGACCACCCATGCAGTTTGAATGAATGCTTTATTGTGTGGAGACAGCGAGCGGCATTCTTTGTCTGCATGCCAGTCCACGTGGCTCACGAAGTCATTTCCCTCCCACTGGCTGTGCTGTCATCTGCGAAGCCTCTTCCCTCTGCTGCCGCTTGGCCCGCCAGCACCCCAGAGACCAACCTGAACTGTTTCTGCTTGTGAATGTGTCACCGCCGGTCCAGGAATGAGGAGTTACGGAGCTGGTGGCAGGCTGTCAGGTCTGATCAGAGCTGTGAGCCTAGGAATAGACCCTATTGTCTATCAAGAAATGGAGATCCAAATGCAGTCTGTAACCCACCTCCCCCCATGAATGAATTTTCAATCAGTTATGCACATCTAAATGTTAGGGTCAAACCTCTGCAAATATGTACCATGTAAATCAGATTTCACAGAAAGGCACCCTTTACCAGAATGTTAATTCTGAGCAATTTTTCCCGAAATGACTCTTTAAAAGTCAAAGCAACTGCCAGAACAAAAAATTTTAGTTCATATATACATACTGTACATACACATTGATCCATGGACTAATCGTACTCTGTATGTCTGCCAGTAGCCTCTGCGGTCTGTGTTTAAGAAAGAGCTGTGGATATGCAGAACTATGCAGATGTACATGATTTCTGTCAGCACCCATATTCCTGATTAATTTGCAGACATGTGGGGTGGAGATGGTCTTTCCTGTTTCCTAGGCACGTTTCTTTACTGTGTCATCAACACTACGGGGCCACGGGGTTAACCAGACCCGTCACTGTCAGCTCAGCTGACGCCGCCTTGCAATGGAAAGCATTCCGGGTCGTGCAGTGGGACAAATGTGCTTTGGTTTAACGGCGTGTAGCTTCCTAATTAAAAGCGACATGTGACTCTGGGAAGACAGTGTGATGATGGTGAGTGTACTGTGAGAAGCCACCCTGAAAGAAAGGATTTCTGCATTTGGTGTTGACAAGCAAGCCAAAGGCTGATTGGAAGAGCACTGCCTCACAACAGACAAAAACACTCAGGGAAACATTGCAAAAACAAGAAGAGAAAAAAATCCATCTTGCTGAATAAGACAAACTTGGATGAAATATATTAGTGTGTTGGCACAGACTTTTTTTTTTTTTATTAATGAATAAAACAGAATGGGCTCATTGGGGCTGAGCTTGTTTCCTGTTTGTGCCTTGGCATGGCCTGTGGTCTGATGTGCTCTTTCGGTTGGGCTGTAGAGTAGAAACCTGGAGGTCTGCTGGAGTTGATCTAGAGGTAGCTGATTCACAGTCTACTGTAGCATCCTGTGGCAAGGAGATTAAATTTCATCCATCCATCTTCTGTAACTTCATTCAGTGCTGGATCATAGGTTAACCTGTATTACCGCATTACAGTGTAACCAACTATAATTGTAAGTCACATTGGATGAGTATGACATCTAAGATTCTAAAAGTATAACAGTAGAAGATACATATCACACCATAGTCAGCTAACAGTAATGGTGATGTTCCTGTGGATCCCATACACTACAGGCCCAAGCCCAAACTTTCACTCTCCTTTTATCACTGTTGGCCCGCTCCTCTTGCTACCTGCCATCTCCTTTGCCATATGGACGCCCCCTCATTGTCTCTGTTTCTCTCTTTTCTGCCAGAGGGTGAAGATGAAGGTTGCTGTGAGTCAGGTAACATGGAGTCAAAAGGCAACTACAGAGTCACATAAAGCCAGTCGTGGCTGAGTCACACCGTGCTGGAACGAGACTCTTAAGTGGTACCATTTGCATGCTCTAAACAGCCATCTG